GACACTGAGGGTTGCGATCCGTTGCCGGTCACGAAAAAAGACAAAAAAAAGGAAAAAAAAAAAAAATTTCATTGTGCCTTGTGAAGATTCATTTTGACTTATACATTTTTCTTCCCACATTTGTTCTACTACTGTTCTTTTTCTTACTGTTTCACTCCTACTATCCTACATCACAAGGGTGGGGCTTTCTTAACTGGGATTGGAGACCTACAGTTGCCTGGCCAGCCTGGGAGAAAAATAGGAAGGCTGCTGCACTAGTCACGTTCCCATAGCTCATGGAGGTAACTGACTCGTAAATAAACTGGCCTTTTCTACCGAGACTTTCATTTAATTTCCTCTGTTCCTTAAATTCTGAGAGGCCATAGAGTGTAAACAATAAGTCTTTGTCTTTTCTTTTGAGGTTTGAGGTATTAAAGTAGGTTGTTAGATTAAAATAATTTCTTGTGAATCACAGCATATGAAAAGGTAACCATTTTAATGAAAAGAGTTATGTCTAAAACATATTCCCGTCTTCTCTTGTCTGCTGAATATTAATCAGGTCTTCTACTACCTTTTGTAATTATAGTCTATGGTACATAGTATTGTTATTAGTAATAATTTAATCTTGACAGTAGTCTCGATGTAAGTATATTTATTACCCCAGTTTACAGATGCACAAACTTAATCTTGAGAAGATAAATAACTTGGCCGGTGTTAATGTGGCCAACCAGTGGCATGTCTGTGACTCACACCAGGTCAGTCTGACATATATATAGCCTGAAGACATGGTCTGAAAGGATTTATGTGCTACTTCTGGAATTTTCTGAGTATTTCCATGCTCAGGGAAGATAATAAAGCAGGGTGTTTGGAACTAGGTCTGTCCTGAAAAATTCAGGTAGCCATTGCCGAAGTTATTTCTCCCTTTATGTACGGCCACTTTTCTCCACGAAGTATTACCTCATTAATCTATATTTTTTTAAAAAAAATTTTTTTTTCCTTTTTGTCTTTTTTCATGTCCGGCAACAGATCGCAACCCTCAGTGTCGCGCCCATACCGGACCGGGACCGGCAACGGGATCACAACCCTCGGTGTCGCGCCCACACCTCGCTCAGCCAGTGAGCGGGAACCGGTCTGTATGTGGGATCCGAACCCTCGGCGGGAGCGCCGCCGCGCTCCCAAGCGGCGCACTGTAGCAGTGCGCCACCGGGCCGGCCCATCTCATTAATCTATTTTTGAGCCTATCAGCCTAATCTTGGCCAACTTCTTCCTGTACTCTAATGCATGTCCTTAGAACCTAAGGTGATTGAAGATGGAAACTGTCTTGTGCTATATATCTGCAGAGTGCCCAGTGAATCACTTCAGTTTAGGGCAAATGTTACTTAGTGTTGTAGTTCAGCAGTTTGAATAGCTGATGATTGAAGCCTAGTGTAAGCTGGACAAAAGCATAGAGGGTTGTTAGGCACCTGGCTGCTCAGTAACTGGGTGTGTAACCTGGAATGTGACCCACAGCCTCTTCTTACTCTCTCAGATTTCTCCATAGGGTACAGGACAAAGTGGGTTACTTTGGAATCACATTCTTGACTAAGTTGTGAGGAACGGAATCTTTCCCAGTAGCCCTGGTTAGAAAAGTTCTGGAAAGAGCCTCTGACTGACCCATAGGGTACAGGACAAAGTGGGTTACTTTGGAATCACATTCTTGACTAAGTTGTGAGGAAGGGAATCTTTCCCAGTAGCCCTGGTTAGAAAAGTTCTGGAAAGAGCCTCTGACTGATCCAGCTTGGGAACCAGGGCATCCCTGGACTGGGTGAGGCTGGTGTCCTTTGACTGACCTTGGCTGGGTCAGGGGCCTCAAACTGTGGTGATAAGAATGTGTTTCGTCACTAAAAATAGAAGGGTGCCTGGGCAAGAAGGCTGGGTAGTCAGTGAAGCTGCTGCCATAAGGGCCTACTCTGTGGCTGAGTAAGCACCATGTGGAGAGAAATATACATGATTTCTGTGAAGTGTAAAGAGAGCTATGGTGCAGGTATTGTTTATTATAACAATTGGGTAAAACATAATTGAGGTATGCTGAATTTCCCCTTGGGCTTGTACTTACTGTCTGAGTTACTTTAGATATCATCAGCATCTGTGAACCAATTTTAAATTTTGTGACAATTGTAGTAAGATTCAAGTGATTTACATATTCATTCAACAGTTGTTTAATGAGTACCCAGCATGTGGGAAGCATTCTACACTGAGGGGATGAGATGAATTAGGTACACAACTCCCCATGCTCTTCAGGAAGACACATAGGAATAGGATGGGCAGGAAATAGGGTAGCTTTCCAGAAGCAGAGAGGTGAGTGGAGGCATGGAGGAACTGAGCACCGATCTGTAGCAGACCAAAGACAGTGGAGAGGTGATTTACAGCAAAAAGAGAGTGTTGTAGGCACAGGCATGGTGGAAATGCTCGGGCTTTGTTGGCAGGGGCCAGTGTGGAGTAGACAGATCGGCTGATGGAGGAAAAGCCGAAAAGTGAGGTTCAAGACCAGGCTATCTGCACTTGGGCTCAGGCCCTCATCTTCAGATGAGGTGCCTAGGGTGGTCCCAAATCCAGTGACCGATGTCCTTATAAGGAGAAAGGAGGATACACAGAGGTATATACAGGGGAGAATGCTGTGCAGCGATGGAAGCAGAGATGGGACTGATGCAGCTGCAAGCCAAGGAATGCTGGGAGCCATCAGAAGCTTGGAAGAGGGAAGGAATAATTCTTCCCTGGAGCCACCAGAGAGAGTGTGGCTCTGCCGACACCTGGATATTGGACTTTTAGCCTCCAGAACTGTGAGAGAATAAATTTCTGCTTTTTTAAGCCATGGAGTTTGTGGTAATTTGTTACGGCAGCCCCAGGAAACTAATACAACCCTTTGCTCCAATTTACCAATTGGTTATTTGTGTCTCTGTTTTTCTCTTTCTCCCACCTTCCTTCTCTCCCTCCCTCTCTCTCTCTGGCTGTGTGAGTGTAATTTTTTTCTGTGGATTTTAAAGTAATCAGGAGACGTAGTGCACCTTTACTCTAAATATATTTCCTAGAATAAATACATTCTCTTATATAAGCATAGGATAATTATAAAAAAAGGAAATTTAAAATTGACATGCTACTGTTCTCTAGTCAACAGTTTATATTCACATTCTGTCAATTTCCCAGTAATGTCCTGTTTTCCCTGGTTCAGAATCCAATCCAGGATTATACATTTTATTTACTTTTCATGCTTCTTTAGTTTTCTGTTAATCCGGAACAGTTCCTCAGACTTTGTGTTTCTTGACCTTCTTATTTTTGAGATATACAGGCCTGTTATTTAGGGCTCGTGTGATGTTTTTTCCTGTTTAAATTCAGATTATGCATTTTGGGTAGGAAGACCAGAGAAGTTGTCTTGTGTTCTTCTCATGTATCATATCAGGAGGAGGTGCTTCATGTTGGTTTATGCCAACACTGATCACTTGGTTAAGGTGGTGTTTGCCAGGTTTCTCCTCTTACTATTTTCTTTGGAATTAATAAGTAACTTGTGAGGAGATGCTTTGTGACTATGTAAATATTCTCTTCTTCATCACACTTTCACCTACTAATTTTAGCATCCATTGATGATTTTCTTTTTTTTTTTCCTTTTTGTCTTTTCTCGTGACTGGCAACGGATCGCAACCCTCAGTGTCGCACCCGTACCGGACCGGGACCGGCAACGGGATCGCAACCCTCGGTGTTGCGC